CATAATATTTAAATTGTATCACAACGTCTCGTGTTCCATACTTTTATCAACCAAATTCAAGTACTGTCGGCGGGCCTGATGGACTGACGTCGCGGGCCGAATCCGGCCCGCGGGCCGTAGTTTGGTGAGCCCTGCTCTAGACCATCACCTGGAGTCTCTAAGCTTCAAGCATACAGATGCTGAGGCAGACTGGACTGCTCTCAAGACCATGCTGCATTCTACAGCCCTTGAATCATTTGGTGTTCCCATATCAAGCCAACCTTGATGTTTACGTGAGAACGATGCAGAAATCCAAGCTCTCCTTGACGAAAAACGTTGCCTGCATAAAGCCTATCTGTGACGCACTACGCCACATTCATTATTTAAATTATGACCTGTTTAAGCACGTGCACATGGTTATTTGTAACGCTGTATACAGCTGTTGGTTGCCTTTTGGCCATTCATGTTGCGCCTTGTGTTATTTCCAGCAGCGCACAGGCACGACCCTGTTGATGTTACACTGCACGGCTTATTTAGCAAATTTCGAATAAAAGAATAAACAACGTGTACTTGTGTAGTGACTGTGCTTGCCGCTGTATGGTGCCGGGGCTTGCTTGCCACGGCCGGTAATGCGTTGTCATTACGGGCAGCCCGGGTTACGGGATGTAGTACCACCGGCCCTAGCGGGGCTTGGGTGAGCGCTGGTTAGCGCGGAGGCACCGCGAGCGGTGTGCGGTGCGGGCTCCCGGAGAGAGAGCGAGAGGGAGCGTCAGCCAGCCAGGGTTACCGTGGGGCATGATCCGCTGGTTGACCTGCTGTCACGTGACTGGACGATATTGGAGGGGGGCCACCGGTGGACGGGGGCCGCGGGGTGGTCCCGTGGTCCAAAGAAACTCTCAGGAACATTCAGAAAGGAGCTCGAGAGGCCTGGAAGGTGGGTGGAGTGCAGGGCGGAGCCAGCCCGGGCGGCATATAACAAGGGCCCCGTGAGGAGCTCGGGGTTCTTCGTGTGCCGGTGTTACGAAGATCCACGTCGGGGAGAAGAAGCCTCGATCCACGCGGTCCGGGACCCAGCTTGTGGTCCGGACCAGGATGGCGAACCGTGCCTAGTTCTGCCGTAGCGTGGTTAAATGGGCATTCGAGACCCGATTGTATATCGTGTTGTGTTGCGTGTTAATGCGGAATAATGTTGCTCCCAAAAGATAACGTCTGCGACTCAGTTGGACTCGCTACACATTGTCATCACCCAAAAGTGGATTGAGAATGGTCCGGACACACGCGGTGGTTATCTGCGACGGCTACTTGGCGCCCTCTGTTGGACACATGCAGGGCCACGACATCTGCTTTTCCGTCTTTTATTACATCAGAACATCTAAACTAAAACTATGAAACTAAAGTATTTTTATTTTACCAGGTAAGGGCCACTGAGCTCTATAGATGTTTTTCAGAAGCAACCTGGCCACAAATGATAGCTCAACGAAATGGCTTATCCGCACGTGGACATTTATAGCAGAAGCCAAATACTCGAAAAACTCAACGCATGTTTCGCATCACCAGGCCGAAGCGACCAGCTGCTTCCGCAATGCACGTGAATGGACATGAGCCACGTGACCCAGACTATGGACGATAAAGTATACCCAGTGTGGTCTGTGCTCCCTCAACGTAGGAGGAATAGCAAAATAATCCGAACACTTAACTCCTGATGCCATCTCGAGCCTGCCAGACCTCGACATTGGCTTGTCGCTCACGAACATTTCTGCCACGCACTTGAAGAGAATAAGACTCTCTTGTATTCCCATTGGCATTGTTTATTGCGCTTGTTTGGCCAGTAAAGTATAATTGAGCTCCCCTCTAGCCGAGTGGCATCGTAATAGCATTGCAGTGGTGCACGTTTACCTATTCCGTTCAGTCTTCCGAGGTGAGACGTTATATAAACAGGCTCTATAAACAACAAAGTGCGCGCGTTTTTTACTGACATGAGTGACTTTATTCCTGAGTTACAGAAGCAGTATAAAGAAGACCGATCGTGACACAAACACCAACACAGACACGCGCACACCGGGCGTACATTATTCCCAAGGTAGTACATCTACTGTGCTATGAGTGGCTCCGACATTGCAAGGACGTATGTGTGTACGTATGTTGAACTTCTTTGGCCACGTACTTTAGCACCGTACGTAGTGAACCCTGCAAATCGGATGTACAAGAGTGAAGCGCCGCGTTGAGAAGTCGAATAGTTTTTTTTTACAAAACCTGTATCATGTTAACAATTATTTCGCGTCCACAGCCGAAGGGGAAAGTGGTCAAGTAATGCTTTTTTTTACTTCATTACAAATATGAAGTTGCCCTTGGGAATTTTTTTGATATGAAAAAAACTAAAACCTGTTAAGCCACATGTAATACAGACTATCGTTACTTATTTTTTTTGATAACCATCCTTGTCAGTGCCATGGTTCAGAAACGTAGCACCCTCGACGAAAAAAATGTGGAACAAAAACTAACAAGTTCGCCAGAAAGGCTTTGAGAGAGCGCGCTGTTGGAGTGAGACGCAACAAGGGGGAGTGGAGAGGGACTTCCCCGCGAAGGACAAGAATAGAGCGCACGGCTCAAGATGAGCAAGCAGGGAGAGCGAACCAGCTCTGGGGGCAGGAAGGGGGGACGGCGAGTGGGGGGAGGAGGGGGAGGAGGAATGACCGGGCCAATATACCGATGACGAGAGGGGAGAGAGGGAGAAGAGAGGTCGAACGAGGGTGCAAAAGGACGCTTCACGGGGGAGCAGCGTCTGTTTTCACGGGGGGTGGTGGCGGGGAGAGGGGATTGGTTTAGAGCGGGGGGGCGAGGGCACACTGAAATCACGTGATTTACGAAAGGCTTGAGCTGGTTTAGATTGAAGAGAACAGAGACAGATTAATGGCATCGTTCACACTGAAGGTTAAGTTTGGCTTGGGCAGGACGCGTCAGGGCTAGACGGCGTTGATGGTCGTTATATGTCTGAAAGTTCAGAGAAAAAAAAGTATGGTCCGCTACCGATTATCATTCATCGTCCAGCAGTGGTTGGCACACTGGCGGTGCAGTCAACAAATGCCATGCCCGACCGCCATTGTCTCCCCAGCGGTAATGTTTGCACACAGATCCGGATATTCACAACAGTATTCACATCGGGCTGAGTCGACCTTGGGGGTTGGACCACTACCTGGTCTGATATCCCTCGCCACTGATGTTAGCCGTGGCCAGGAATGGAACTGAGGTTTGCCGGATTCGTTGCGTAGCGAGTGAATCACTGCTGTCCACATCTCTATATGTACAAAAAAAGGCAAATGTCTCCCGTGTAGCCGACTCAGACTTTTGGTGCAAGTGCTATTGGCGAGTGCCTCAAGTCCAGGGGTTGTGGAGGCGCGGGAGGGGGACGTGGGATTTAACAGAACCTCGCACCGGTCGACGTCTCAAAAGTATCGATGTTTACACACCGTATTAGTACCGTATACTATATACACATTGACACAATGTATGACTATTTAATTATATATATAAAAAAAAACATTTGTAACGAACCTGGGAATGACGGCAAGCCAGGGCATGAAATGAAAGTTACATTTAGTTCCTAATCCACAGGACCCATCACGTGGGAAGTGCTTGCAGCATCAATACACCAATACATTAACCCCGCCACTACGAATGACATTTATCAATAATAATAATGATAAACAATAATTTACTTATTCATCCAGGATAGCCACACCGAGTCCAAGGACTCATTTTCAGGAGGGTCCTGCCTGCAAAGGGTTTTTATTTTAAGATGCTTTCAGCCAATTATTGGTGGGTGCTTATACAAGTGGGAGGCCACCAGAGCATCCGGGGAAAACCCCACGTCTTTCGTGACGGGAAGCAACACTCAATCCCCGTACAGATGGAAACAGATGGCGATTAATCCACTTACTGTACCGCCTTCTCCTGGCGAGCCACGGTATGGCACCTCCTCGACGCCCACGGGAAGGGAGATTCACACCATCTGCGCGTGATCTACCAGCCCTCGCTGCTGCCTACACAGTGCTGGATGGATTACAGGCTACCGCCACATTATCTGGATTATAAGACGCTCTGGAAGGTAAGATCCCCCCCCCTCAATGCTCAATCGAGCAAGACACATTACTCAGCTGAGGGCATGTTTTCTGGACGAGGGGATGGTTTGTGGAATCTCAAGTGTTTTTTTTAGCTCCCAGGTCGCACTCTCAGCTGTCCACGAAAAGGTAATGCAGGTCTATTGCTTGCGGTTAAGAGTGCAGGATAACAACACATGGCGAAATAATACGATGCTCCCAACAAAAAAAAAACACAGCAATGTATCGCCGCTAACAGTGTAATGCTGATCGGATTGAATGAAATGCTTCGGGACGGTGCATACAACATTCAATACGGTGTTGATTGGGTGTCACGTAAACAACGCCGTTACGGCGGGGGGGGGGGGGTGGATAAATCGCTTCGAGGCTCATGGAGTCCACGAGTCCAGGCCACCATATTTCACTTGTCGGTGCCATCCAAGGCGGCACAACTACAGCGGTTCAAACGTCTCTGGCGTGACCACTCACGGCGACCTGTGCGATGAGCGGTGCCATCGAACACCTCACTCGCTTTGGCCCGTGTGAATAAATCGGTACCACTGAAGGTGTTGCCACTTTAAGTGGTTACCAGTTGACTGCTCTGGCCGGTGGACTAAATCCTGCGCTCGTCATGGCTCAAGGTCTACGAGCGCGGAGTGCGTGGCGGTGTTTTGAAGCGACGAGAGGTGGGGAGTCGGCGGAATGGGATGGAGGGAACTTGAGTCATGGTTCTGCCCTGGGTCAGAACGAGGGAGAGTCGCTCAAGAGGCTTGTGACTCCCCGTGTGGTTGCACAAGACAAAGACCCCCCCCCCCCCCCCTCGTATAGCCTCAGCAGACTGTTGGGGCAAGTGCTTTTAGCGAGCAATCTATGAAGACCAGAACGGCACACGAGGGGGTGGGTGGCCAGCACCACGCCCGGTCGCCTATGTCTCCCTAGTAGCCATATATACACACCGTTCCAGGTACTAATTTGAGGCTAAGTCAACTTAGGGAGGGTCCAGGATCAGTTCAGGTAATCGTCATTGGTGTTGGCCATGATCAGGAATCGAACTCAGGTGACCGGATTCATAGTGTGTGTGGTTGCACATGCATACACACTCGGCAAAGTCGACCAGGTGTGGTGCTTGGCCATCCACCCCATCGTGTGTTGTCGGCTTTTGTAGTTGCCCCAACAGTCTGTAAAGGATATACGGGGGATCTTTGTCTTAGCACACACACAGAATAGGGGGGGGGGGGGGTGGGGCGGGGGGGATTAAGAAACCTGATTTAAGATTGAAAAAAATTCCCGGAACTTGGGTACACGCAGTGGCCTAGTTTCAGCCGGAATAGTTTGGAACGCTGTTTCAGGAATTATTTTGGCCACGGGACAAACAAAGTGTTTTAATTGGTCCTCGGCATGCTGCGGTGGTGTGTAGACATATATGATGCAACAAAAACATTAATATACAAAGGTATGCAATTGTGACCGACAGGCGTACCTTGTAATCTCGTGGTAGTGCCTTACGCCGGCAAGCCCTACTCCAAGTCAGTCTTAGCAACGTCCCGGGAAAATAACCGTCGAGAAATAAATTCATGGGTGCATGTAACAACAGCAACAACAACAACAAACAAATAAATTAACCGATGTTCCTAACACCCGATCTTTCAAACATGTATCCCGTCAAGGCTTTACGAGCCGTAGGGAAACTTGAAATCGACGTTCGGCTGCAGGGAAAAGGCGGCGTTGACCGCTCCGCCGCTGGACGACGTCGCCGCCGCCGCCACCATCGGCCCCCTGGCAGAAAACGTCGCCCCGTGGAGGGCCTGCGCGGCCGCGAAGATGGGGCCGCTCGTCTCCGGCAGGGCTGCGGAGCCCCCCGCGAGGACCCCAGTGGAGGGCCCCCCGCCGCTGGTGCTGTGGAAGCACCTCGCCTCGTGCTGCCGGAGGAGAGCGTCAAGGCTGTGGAGCTCCACGCGCAGGCTCTCGATCTCGCGCCGCAGCGCCGCGTTCTCCTGCTCCAGGGTCTCGCTCTCCTGCGGGGGGGTTTTGAAGGACAACGCTACGAAATCGTCGACCGCGTAGCCCGCGCGAGGCCGTTGGTTGGGGGTGAGCACCGAGTGTGCTCACGAGGTTACCTCGCCCCACGGAGCTCCCGTGCTAAATAGCCGGGCAACTTGGCCAAACGGGATGAGCCATCTCACAAATCAAATAAATGCTTTTTGGTTCTTAACGGTAAAGTCACGTAGGTAGAAAATAATAGATCACGACGTTTCGATCGCAACACCAGCGACCGTCATCAGGTGAGACAATCACAGCAGGGAAACTGCTGAAGCATCTATTATTTTATACCTACGTGACTTTACCGAAAGAACCAAAGAGTTTGGATTCCTGCTGTCACGAAAGCTTCAAATCAAGATTAAATCAAATAAACTCAAGCCCAAGTAATATATCACGAGTGTGCGTTAAGTCCTCTCGTCGTGGCTTGCGGACCCCGCCATTGACATTTAGCTCGCGCGCGTGGTAATGCTGCTGCTATCATGCGCAAGACACATTTGGTATTCGCTCCATTCCCATAGTGTGAGGCCATCATCACCATCATCAACGAGGGAATATCGCCGCTGTGTTCCGCAGACATGGTCTCAAAACTCCGCGGGCCATGCTTATACATCAGCTTACGGCTGAATGTTTCAAACCCAAATGCACATTAATCTCCTTCCGTTCCTCTTTTGAAGCCTCACCACCTCATCGCCCATTCCCTTCCTCTTCCCTCCCCTCGCCCCTCCACTCCATTCCGTCCCTTCGCCAAAGCCTTTTAGTGACCACCACCACCCCGCCTACATGAACCACACGGACTTGTGGTGAACATGCAAACAAACATACTCTGATAATTCTACATGCAGTCTTTGAACCTGATTGGCCTACACCAGACAGCCTTCTATATGGCCTAGTCGCACCTTTGTCACACCAGAGAACGTCAAAAGGCGAACAGTACATAGACAATGGACGTATCAGAGCATGCATAGCTCGGGATGAGCAGCTCTATGTCATGTTCACCACAAGTACGTGTGGTTAATGCGGACTTGAGCCCTTTCAAAATGTATCTATTTGGCATTTCAAAATCTTAACACCTGTTTTATCGCCAGAAAGGGCATAACCTATTCTTATTTTTTTATACTTTGATACTGGCAAAAAAGGTCCCATGTTATGACACACTGCCATTGGCTACGAACGGTGCGAAAGAAGTTCAACATACATAGAGAGAGCGCACCTTGAGCCAAGGCGCGCTCCCTCTATACAAGTGTAAGGGATGTCAGGGGTTAGGAATGGATAAGGACAGTGGGTTAAGGGGCATGGAGAGGATTCCTGCCAAAAGGAAGGGGGGGGGGCAGTGGAGCGGGAACAGTGTAAGATTTGGTGGAGCAGGCGAGTAGATAGAGGAGGGGGGCTGGGGGCATTCTGGCGGAGAACGGATTGGGAGGGGGGGGGCTGTGGGAAAGTGTGGACTGGGGGAAATTAAAGGACGGACCCCCCACCCACCCCACCCCACCCTCCTTCCCAACCTCGTGTCGGCGCTCCTTTACATGAGTATAAATTAAGATAGGGGCACATTCAGTCCATCGGTGTGGATACCTGGTGGAGGATATCGGCTCGCTGCGTCTGCTTCTGCCGGCTCTTCTGAGCCGCCACGCGGTTCTTCTCGCGCCGCGTGCCACGGCGCCCGCCCGGGCGAGGCGGAGAGTCCTGGCCGACAGGGCGAGGGAACCGTCAAGAGGGAATGAGAATCGCGAGTTGAACACGCAGTTCTAAGTAGGCTTTCGCGATCGATATTATTAATAATGTTGTTTTTTGGCGGGGGGAAGCGGGGAGTGGGATTGGTTCGCGTAAATTTAAATGTGTCGTTAACCCACCAACACCACCACCACCCGACACAGCCAATTATCAAGATTTGTCACGTCAGCAACACGTGCCGATGAGTTACGACCTCTGACCCCTGTCTATTGGAGAGTAAACCCACAACATTTACGTTTCGCCGGCGATTACAACAGCTTCATCAGGCGATTTGCCAGCATTCTGGCAAATCGACGATACAGATTCCTGGCAAATCGATGCATCAAAATATATACTTACAATAGGCGACGTGATGGGCAATGTCCCTTCTTCATAGAACATGACATATCTCTATGGAATGCCTCTATAAGCGTTGTCTCTTATGCGTTCAATTTCGTTCTGAGCAAAATGCACTGCTACGGTTTAACAGGCGAATGCACCAAACCAGGGCGTGTGCCTTTTGATGATAACAAACTTTATATTTTGAGTGGCACTCTGTCGTGTAGGCTCGCTTAACATTTCAGGCAGTTGCCCGTCTTCATGGCACATTATGCTCGTGCGCACGTTTACACTTTGTCGTGTGCAACAATTGAAACACGATCAGAAAGTTAAGGCAAACAATAAACGCCGCACCGAAGCCATGCGTCAATTATACTTTAGCCCCCACCCAAGTATAGGCGAGATGGTGGAATTGTGATCAAGCACCGCGGATCTCCCGTGGTGAGACAGCCGGGTAACTGGCTACTTTATTACACGAGAGATCTGGCGCATGGGACGCGGCCAACCGGAGGCGCCAGTCCTGCTCCCTTGTTCTTGAGCTCATTCAAAGCCATGCCGCCCGCACGAGGCTACCGTGGTGACGTCGCGATAAATAAATAAAAACAAAGATCCCCCGTATAGCCTTAACAGACTGTAGGGGCAAGTGCTGTTAGCGAGCACCTATGAAGGCCGAACGGTACACGAGCGGGTGGGTGGTCAACACCACGCCCGACCGCCTTTGTCTCCCCGGTGGCGATGTTTGCACACAGCACCAGGTACTCATTTGAGGCTGAGTCGACCTAGGGGAGGACCAGGACCGGTTCCGATGATCGTCACCGGTGTTGGCCGCGAGGGGGAATTCGAACCCGTGTCGCCGGGTTTATAGCGCAGCGCGCCAACCGCTACACTATCGCGATCACGCACGCACACACACGCACACGTGATCTAGAGATGCGATCCTCCAAGAAAAATCATTGTTGTCATCCCCCACACGCCCTCTGCCGCCGGGTGGCACCGACAAGGCATGTTTGCGCTCAACGGCATTGGAGAGACAAAGGCGGCCGTCTCTCTCACCGACCTCACGAAAGTCGTGGTGACATCTCAATCTTCCGCTGTCTCTTTCCGTTCCTGTGTCTGTCCCTCCGTGTCTGTCTCTCTGTGTGCGGGTCTGTGCGCGTGAACTGTAACGACCTCCACCCGCGCACCCAAACCGCACCCCGCCCCCCTCCCGAAGCCACCGAAACTAAAATCTTTCCACGCGATGCCAACTCCGCTCGTTCTCTGACTTCCCCCCGAAACCTCGCGTCGTCTGATCGCGCCACGATTTGTTGTTTTTTTTTTGTTGCGTCGGAGCTCGGCCAATTCCCGGTTCCTCGAAGCTTCCGCATCGCTGCGGCTAAACGGCTCGAGCAGCGGCGCGGTTGGCTACGTACGGTGCGAAAGAAAGTCCGACGCACGCGTGGGCGGAGCGGTGGGCCAGCGCAGTGCAGCTCGGCCCTTTTCCACCGCGCGGCCACTTGCGTGCTTGCTCGACCTTCGCGGCACTCTGCCCAACTGCGCAACCGCGACCCGCGTTTTGTTGTTGAGAGGGTCGGGGATGGAGTGGGGGGGGGGAGGCATCGGCGACCAATGGAGAGGGGGGCGGGAGTTGATGGGGTGCGGGGGGGGGAGGCTGGATCGGCCACTGAACGGCACGGAGAGGTCGTCTGTCATAGCGAGCTTGCGAAGTTGTTGCCTGAGATTTGGAAAACACTGCGGCGCACCTGGGGCTCGGCACCGGTTGCTGGTTAAGCGCACTGCGATGTAACCCACACGGCAGCCTGAACCCGGCCAAGGGGCTAACGTCGGCGGCGAATACCTTGAACCGGTTGTGATGCCTTCAGCAGCTCCGCACTGACCAGCGCCACGTTATTAGTGTATTGGTGGGATGATCCCAACGCTTGACGCAGCCCTGGGGAAGAGGGCTTATTTAGTTCAACCAGCTGCGGGCTGGCTAACGGCCTGTCGGGCGGTGGTGACTACGCACGTGGCTGGCCTGCCTGTAATCCAGCACTGTGGAGGCAGCGGCGAGGGTTGGTGAAACATTGCACAGATAGGTTGTGAAACGCCACACCCTGACAGAAAAACGTGGACTCCCACCTGTACCGCCTGTGTGGGATAGAGTTTCCCCCTCGCATACGTTGTTGGTCTTTCTCCCGGATGCTCCCGTCACCTCCCACATGTGAACGCTCGTGAAATGGCCGCTAACACAGTCTTCATACATAGAGGACCGCAGAGCTTGGCCAATTGTTGTTAGCGTCGACTCGCCGTGTGGCTGCTGCCTTTCTCGTCGCGTCTCTGGGTCTACGGGGAGCGTAGACTCAGACTGTGCGGCGACAATCATACAAGGTGAGCAGTATTATCATCATCATAAACTACGAGTTAAGGACGATTGGTAAGAGCTTTATTATCAGACAGAACCGTCCGAGGAGCGGTGTTCCGGGAATTACTTCGGCATTCCACATCAAGCACATTTAAATTCGTTCTCGTGAATGAAACTCGCACCGAAGACAACGGTGAATCCACGCGATCTTACGAACGTGAAGATGTTAATGCCGCACGGGCTACAAACTCTGTTCAAGAGAGACGGGACAAGAGGACACGGCAACGCTTTCAGAGGCGTTTCTGCGGCCGTCTGGAACGCTCTTCTTACCGATATTAGGAAGCCACCGGAGCTATGCACTTTTAAATCGTCTCGATTAAAAACTCGTTTCTTTTGGAACTGCTTTTTTAGTTTAGTTTCTTTGCCTTTCCCGCCGCACCTCCGATTAGCACGGTTGGCTACGTACGGTGCGAAAGAAGTTCAACATACATATATAGGGGTAGATGGGACGAGGATAATGATGATGATGATCGATGGTCAACGACAAAAAAAATAACAACGGAGTGTCAGCGAAGGAATGAAACGCGCCGTAGAGCACGTCTCGCCAAAGAGATGGAGCGGCCAAATCAATTCGTCCGTGCCAGCGCTGGGTGGATCGCTACGTTGCAGCATTGTGAGAGGTGGCGGCGACTTGACGCAGGCTGTCATTCCAGCAGTGTATTGACCATGGCCCATGACGATGATGATCGTGGGACAATACAGTATAATTATTCTGGTAGGAAACGTAGTGGTCTTGAAGCCCAACCGGGATTAATTCACATGAGGCAGGGTGATTAATTGTGTATGTCTGTGGATGTCTGTCTAAGTGTATCCGGACACCCGGATATATAACAAATGCGCTCCTAGTGGGCATTACCGGTAGGAAACGTAGTGGACTGGAAGCCCAACCGGGATTATCATCACAGGAGGCAGGGGATTAATTGTGGATGTCTGTGGATGTCTGTCCAGGTGTATCCGGACACCCGGATATATAACAAATGCGCTCCTAGAGGGCATTACTGTTAGGAAACGTAGTGGACTGGAAGCCCAACCGGGATTAAATATCCGTACATAATTACTTCAAAATTTCCTACCAGCCCCCTCCGCAGGAATGTTTCTGATTCTGAACATAGATTACTATATCTTGACTTAAAGCTTTCGTGACTGTAGGAATTCATATTCTTTGGGTCTTATTTTCTTTGAACCTATCTACGTGACTTTACCGAAAGACCCAAAGAATATAGATTAGTATGTTTATTTATTAGTCTGATTCTTATAGATAGGCGTACCTTGTAAACTAGCGGTACTGTCTTACGCCAATAACTCCTACGACTGCCTACAACCCAGCAACAGCGTTGCGGAAAAAAAGATCGAGTGAAACACGTGTCCGTTTGGATAGCACGTGAATAGGCAACTGCTGTAGTGGAGCGAGTGGTGGGGTAGAGCGGTGGGAGATTTAAAAAAAGAAAAACCATCTCTTTTCATCCACACGGATTTAAAAGAGAAGCGTGCAAGGAATGCCCGTAAGGCGCTGGGAGTCGTGGCGCGCGGCGAGAGGCGTCCCTTACCTGGGGGTCGGAGTCGGACTGAGCACCGCCGCTTCCCTCACGTGTTGGGTCCGAGGCCATGCGAGAGGCAGCGCGCTCCGGCTCGGGCGGAGGCCGTCGCTCATCGAACAACGATCCCCGCAAACAGCTCGCAAAGTCCAGCTCGCTGGCGATGTCGCTCGGACACCTTGCCTGCGTGCCTCTCTTCGCGTGCGTGCGTGTCTCTGCGTGTGCGTGTCTCTGCGTGTGTGTCTGTATGTGTGGAGCGGTGGTGTAGCGGTTAGCGCGCTGCGCTACGAACCTGGCGACCCGGGTTCGATTCCCGCTTACGGAAAACACCCAGTTACGATGATCTCAACCGGTCCTGGGCCTCCCCTAGGTCGACTCAGCCTCCAACGAGTACCTGGTGCGATGTGTAAACATCGCCACTCGGGAGACAGTCGGCCGGGCGCGGTGTTGACCACCCACCCCCTCGTGTGCCGTGTCGGCCTTTATAGGTGCTCGCTAACAGCACTTGCCTACACAGTCTGTTAAGGCTATGCGGGGGATCTTTTTATTTGTGTGTGTATCTACGCGTGTGTTCGCCTATGTGTGTCTCTGTTTCTATCTATGTAGTGTGTCTACGTATGAGTGTCTCTGTCTGTGTATGGGTGTCTCTGTCTGTGTATGGGTGTCTCTGTCTATGAGTGTCTCTGTCTGTGTATGGGTGTCTCTGTCTGTGAATGTCCCCGCGTCTCTGTCTCCCAGCGCACTGCACTTCGCGCGACCGATCCCGGCTGTCACTTGAAATGATGTTCGCCCATTCATTCATTCATTCCTCGTCCGAATGACCGGAAGAGAGATCCGCCCTCGCGTGACAATGCACAACGATGCGAGCGCTCCCACACACACCCCACGACAACACTCCACCAACTCACTCACTAAGCAGCTACCACCACGAGTCTCATTAAATGAGCGAACAGGTGCGGTGTCTACGGCGGTAATGTAATTACCCTTAAAGTGCACGCTCTGGAGCTCTCAGTGTCTCACTTTAAATTTGTCTATCTTCCGTCACTCTGTGTGCGTGTCTCTGCCTCTCTCTCTCTCAGTGTCTGTCTCACTCTAAATCTCTCTCTCTCTCTCTGCCACTCTGTGTGTCTCACTCTAAATCTGTCTCTGTCACTCTGTGTGTCTCTCTGCCCCTCTCCCTCTCTGTCTGTCTCACTATAAATCTGTCTCTGTCACTGTGTGTGTCTCTCTGCCTCTCTCTCAGTGTCTGTCTCACTCTAAATCTCTCGCTCTCTGCCACTCTGTGTGTCTCACTCTAAATCTATCTCTGTCACTCTGTGTGTGTCTCTCTGCCCCTCTCTCTGTCTCACTATAAATGTCTCTGTCACTGTGTGTGTGTGTCTCTCTGCCTCTCTCTCAGTGTCTGTCTCACTCTAAATCTCTCTCTCTCTGCCACTCTGTGTGTCTCACTCTAAATCTGTTTCTGTCACTCTGTGTGTCTCTCTCTGCCCCCCTCTCTCTGTGTGTGTCTCACTCTAAATGTGTCTCTCTCTGCCCCTCTCTCTGTGTATCTGCGTCTCGTCCGCTCACCGCTGCCGAGTCGGATTGCGCAATCCCTTCTGGGAAGCGCTCCGCGCGCTGTGCGGTTTCTAGAAGTCACGTGACGCGAGTCGCGTCGCTGTCGAGAAACTTGGGGAAGCCACGCGCAGCGAAACTTTCTCGACGTCTGGGCGAGCGTGGAAGAGTAGGCCAAGGCACCCCATGTTAGAGGGGATTTCCGAGAGAGAGAGAGCTGTTTTTCGCGTGCGCGAAGCAATAGCAGGGCTTATTTACACCCTTACCTTTGAGTGGCATAGCGATTGCTTGTCAACGGAACCACAGGCCAACACATCGAAGCATAATCTATCAGATGAAACGATATGCTTGTATCGATCAAAAGTAAGAGAAATCAAGTTACGAATCGATAATAATCACGTTTTTTTTTGTCCCAGTCTCAGCGGCGCTCCCGTGGGTAACAGAACGCATTCTACCGGCTAGGCATTGCAGAGACATATGCAGTGTTCTATGTTGAAGGACCATTGCCCGAAACGTCGTCTGTTTTATATATTTATATAAATGTCCTTTTAAGGCCACAGTGTTATTGGCGAATTTGTTGAGGGTTTTAATTGTTGTTGTAACATAACGACATGCCGGTAAATCGATTATATTTTATTGCTCACGCTACACCGGGGCATCGACTCGCTCTGCGCGTAATAATCGATGCACACAGACTGCTTCACGATGGGCAACGCACGAAAGAAAATCACTGCGATGAGGCCGACGACAGTCCCGCAGAAACCCCATTGCGAGTGACGGATGTTGAAACAAACACGAAACAAACACACAACAAACACACAACAAAATAAACACAAAACAAACACAAACCCAACACAAACAAACACAAACCCAACACAAACAAATACAAACAGAAGGCAAAAACAAAACCAAAACAAACACAAGAAATACAAACAAACGCAAACACACAAACAAAAACACAAAACACAGACAAAAACAAAACACAAACAAAAACACAAAGACACAACACACAAAACACAAAGACACAAGACACAAAGACACAACACACAAAACACAAACAAAGACACAACACACAAACAAAGACACAACACACAAACAAAGACACAAAGACACAAAACAGAAACAAAGACACAACACACAAACAAAGCCACAAAACACAAAGACACAACACACAAAACACAAAGACACAAAACACAAAGACACAAAACACAAAGACACAACACACAAAACACAAAGACACAAAACACAAACAAAGACACAAAACACAAAGACACAACACACAAACAAAGACAAATAGAGGACGAGAACGCAGCGAGGGAGGTGTAACGAGACGAGGCCATCGATATCCGTGAATGAATCACAGCCAGGGGCGCCGAACCACCATCACCACCACCCACCACCATCACCACCACCCACCACCATCACCACCCACCACTACCCATCACCACCACCATCACCACCATCACCATCACCACCCACCACTACCCATCACCACCACCATCACCACCGCCACCATCACCACCCACCACTACCCATCACCACCATCGCCACCAATCACCATCACCACCATCACCCATCACCACCACATCACCACCACCCACCACCATCACCACCACCCACCATCACCACCACCACCCACCGCCACCCACCACCACCCACCACCACCATCACCCACCACTACCACCACCACCACCCATCACCACCACCCACCATCATCACCACCCACCACCATCGGTCTCCTTGCACCCGTGGACCGCATTCGTTTAACTTCATGGACACGGCGCAACAAGTGACGGAGTGCGTCTTACTTTCCGAGTGCGTCTTATCACCCGGACGATCCCGTTGAGCAAGGGGGAGGGGCCGTCGTTGGTAGTGGTGGTGGTAGCGGTGGGTGGTGGTAGTGGTGATGGTAGTGGGTGGTGGTGATGGTAGCGGTGGGTGGTAGTGATGGTAGCTGTGGGTGGTGGTGGTGGGTGGTAGTGGTGGGTGCAGGCTGTAGTGGTGGGTGGTGGCGGTAGTGGGTGGTAGCTGTGGGTGGTGGTGGTAGGTGGAACGCACCTTTGTCGGTCGCGTCACTTCTCGAATTCTGCGCCAGTGTGGTGCGCCGGTTCAAGCGAGAAAACAGCGAAACAGGGGAAGTCCTTCCCAAGAGAAAGAGACACCACACACCACAAACACGCCACACACGCCACACACACACCACACACACCACATACACACCACACACACTACATACACACACCACACACACCACATACACACACCACAAACACACCATACACACCCACACACCCTCCACACACACTACCACACACCACCACACACCACCACACACCACACCACACCCCACACATCACACCACACCCCACACACACACACCACACCCCACACACACAAACACACCACACATCACACACCTACCACACACCCCCACACACCTACCACGCACCCCCACACACCACACCACACCCCACACAAACACACCACACACACACCTACACACCCCGCACACCACCCCCAGTCGTCTCCGCCTTTGTCTCCCGGGTGGCGATATTCGCGACACGGCACCAGGTTACTCGTTTGAGGCCGAGTCGACCTAGACGAGGGCCCGGTGACATAGCCGGACGAAGAAAGCGCGAATCTCCGGAACCCAGCAAAGAGCTGAAGACGCGGCCCCAACTGGTGGGGCCCCAACTGGTGGGGCCCCAACTGGTGGGGCCCCAACTGGTGGGGCCGCAACTGGTGGGGCCCCAACTGGTGGGGCCCCAACTGGTGGGGCCCCAACTTCAGCGTTGATTCCGCATCCTCTGCCGCCTCGTCCAGCAGCACCACCACCACCCACGCCGTCGCGTGACACCGCAAGTCGGGGGGGTGGGGGCTGCGGCGCTGCGCACGAAGTTTCCGAGGTTTTCGCGGCTGCGGCGCGCGAGGCTTGGGGAAGCGGCGGGCGAGGTGTGATTTGTCTTTTTTGCGATGAGCGAGACGCGGACACGACGAAGGGAAGTCGCCACCACCACCACCGCCGCCACCCTCCACCACCCCTGCACCTGCTCGCTACCCCTCACCCCGCTCCTCTCCCTACCTCGCTCCTGCCCCAGCGGTCTGCGCTCACCACGTGTGGATATCTCCCCACACCCCCCCCCCTCGACTGATTTAAACTGTAATGCGTGCCCCCCCCCTCGCCCACCCCCTCCTCGCCCCCCCCCCCCTTAAAAAAAGTATATATAATTATATATATTTTACAAAAGTTCCGGTTGCGCTATCGGCGTCATATCGCGACGCGCGAACAATGATCCTCTCAGAACACATTCGCCAATAGAACTGTGCGCGTGTGTGGCCTTACAAGGAAGTATATAACATGCGACGTTTCGGGCAGTGGCCCTTCTTTACCGCGTATATACACAAATTATTGTAGACATACATCATAAACAAAAATCTTAACGTTGATCATATGTGCTCTGAAGTAGGGTCATTGCCCGAAACGTCGCAGAATATAGTTCATTTTTTTCATTTGAAGGCCACGCACGGTGCTATTGACGATTGTTGTTGGGTGTTGTTGCGAATTGTGCTTGTGTACCGACTCCCAACGTAGCAGCATCACCAAGTAGAAATGTTTCACTCGGAACTCCGAGAGGGCAGTGCATCGTCGAGCCGTGTTCGAGAAAGGTACCGAGAAGATGCCATCA